TCGTCGTGTGTGTTGTTGTGTGTGTGTGTGTGTGTGTGTGTGTGTGTGTGTGTGTGTGTGTGTGTGTGCTAACATTTCGTGTTTGATGCTTCTGACCGTTTCTGTTTCATGTTTGAAGTGTGCGGATGCATTTGCGAACAACCATGCTATTCCAGACCACCCTTCTGTTCTCATCGCAACAACACATACACAAACGCACACACACGCACACCCACGCACATCCACGCACACCCACGCACACCCACGCACTTGTCAGAAACGCCTTCCGAGGCGGACACGGAACATCTACTGCGGATGGTTGGACAGTGCATCCAGGGCGGCATTGTGTCAGACTCAAACCTCGATGACGACGACGATGATGATGATGATGGTGATGATCGCGCTGCTTACGAGCTGGCGTACGTGCACGGCGGTGACGAGGGCGAGTATGGTGCTGCCGCTGCTGACCATGGCAGCGGTGGTGGCGATGACGCGGCTGGGCTGGCGTGGAGGCGGCGACGGCTTGGTGGTGGCGTGGAGGTTGAGCTTGGCCGGGCTGCACTGCTGGCACGCGCGCTGCTGTCGTCGACGTCACAATCGCGTTCGTCGTCCGTATCCTCTTCAGCGCCCGTGACAACAACGGCAACAGACACACGGGAGCAGTCGACTGCTGAGGACGGCGCTGGTCATCGTGATGGCATCGATTACGACTACGACCATGAAAACTTGGATGATGATGATGATGAGGAGGAGGAGGAGTTGAACGAAACCATTCGTCACCACGTGCTTGGCGTGCCGTCGCAGGTGCGAGCGTCACCACATTGACTTCGAGGAGGGGGCTGGATGTTGGGTCTTGTAGTTCTGTGCTGGAGTGGAAGAGTGATTCGACGTGCACGACGTGGGTGTGAGTGTTTGCGCCATGCTCGTGGCGATTGCTATCTGCCGTACCTGATCAGATTGTATTGGGTGGGTGGTGTGGGGGTGTCGTTGTGGCAGGATGGAAGCAAATCCATGCTGGAACGCATTCGCGACACTTCCCGCAGGTACAGCCATGCACACCTCCACATGTTCGCATGTGTGCCTGCATGTGCACGAAGGCTGGAGCTGTTTGGTGTGGTGTTCCTTGTTTCGCTTTGTTTCAAAGCCGTTCTTTCCCACACTTACACACACCCACACAAACACACACGGGTGCACCACTGCGGCTGTGGTGGCACGCATTGCAGACTGCGCACGGAAGAGGAAGCGGGCACCGCCGCCGCCGCCAACATCGCTGCTGGCATGCCATCGAAGGACAGCGGCGACAGTCAACTCGAGAGCTGGTACGGCAGCATCAGCAGCACCAGCAGTGGAAGGGGACGTGCTGCCAACCGTAGAAACCACGACAGGGTAGGCCGCGATGCAGCTGCTGCAGATGACATGACTATTGCTGACGGTCGCAGTGGTCATGGTGATGGTGGTGGTGGTGGTGGTGGTGACCATCGGGCGCCGCCCCGTCAGCCGTCGAGCGACTCGCTCCTGCAGGAATTCTCCGACGACCTTTTTGTCCACGCCGTCATCCTGCAGCAGGTTGGCGCGCATGTGTGTGTGTGTGTGTGTGTGTGTGTGTGTGCATGTGTGTGTGTGTGTGTGTGTGTGTGTGCGTGTGCGTGTGTTTGTGTGTGTGTGTGCTTTTTTTTCTGCATGCTTGTAGCTTGACAGCAATTACTGCTGTGCATCCCTGCCCACGCTCATGCATTACATCAACCTCATGTGTATTCACCACAGGCTGAGGGCGTGTTCGACGCTCTGCCAAGCAATGCCACCCTCGACTCAAATGTATGAAGACGTGTATGTGTGTGTGCGTGTGTGCGTGTGTGCAACTGCTCACGACGGCAGCACGCCGTTGCTCGTTGAGCGCTGCTTTCACCATGTGCAACTTGACCTCCCACTCAACAATCAGCGCCTCACACCCGTTTGCCTTTCCACACGTCCAAACGTACGTATGCACAACCACCCCCCCCCCATCACCATCACCATCACTGCTGCTGTTGGGGGCCAGGTCGTGAACCGGCTGTGCCTGACGATTGAGGAGTGTCTTCGCACGACGGCGGCGAGCAGCACGTGGCCCGAAGCCTGTCCAGATGAACTCGAGAGCGAGGTGCGCCCCTTGCCATGGTGGTATGCGCGCGCGCGTGTGTGTGTGTGTGCGCGCGCGTGTGTGTGTGTGCGTGTGTATGTGTGTGTGTGTGTACGTACGTGTGTGTGTGTGTGTGTGTGTGCGTACAAGTGCGCATCTTGTTTAACGAGCGATAGCATCTGATATTGGCTCGCATCACGATTTTCTGCCACTGTTTCATGCAGCTTGCTGCGAGCGTGCGTGGTGTGATGGTGAAGCACCTTGGCTCGCCGGTCGCCGCGTGTCGTGCACGTGCACTTCAGGACATCGACAGCCTCCTCTACGACGAAATGGTCTTCAACAAGTACGCCCACGTACTTGTGTCTCTGCATGTGTGTGTGTGTGTTCATGTGTGTGTGTGTGTGTGTGTGTGTGTGTGTGTGTGTGTGTGCACGTGCGTGTTTGTGTCTCATTTGTTGGCGTGCGTGTGCACGTGCGTGTTTGTGTCTCATTTGTTGGCGTTGGTTATCCTTCTGTGAGCCTCCACTCCCCCTTCAACCATGCACACCCCGACCTCTTCTCAACTTCGATCCGACTGCAGGGTAATTGAGCAAGTTGACCGCAGCTACCAGAAGGAGATGGCTGAGCTGCGTGTGGCGCAGGCGGAGCTCTTGCGAGAAGAGACATCCCTCACAAAGTACACAGGGTGGTGTGTGTGTGTGTGTGTGTGTGTGTGTGTGTGTGTGTGTGTGTGTGTGTGTGTGTGTGTGTGTGTGTGTGTGTGTGTGTGTGTGTGTGTGTGTGGCAAAAAGGTGTCATCGCTGTGCTCTTCATAACTTTTCGCCCACATCTTCCCCCTCACATGCACACACAAACAAACAACAGGGAGCGCCGCGCAACCATGGACAAGTTGTCGCAAGATCGACAGCAGCGTCTGCAGTCCCTCATATCCGCCAGCAGCAAGGGCGATGATGATGACGATCGTGGTCGTGATGGTGGTGACGTGCACGGGGCACCACCGCTGCACTACTTACCGACGCTGCACGATGATGATGACGGTGGTCGTGGCAGTCACGGAGACAATCGCGGGCGTACCGGTGCTGATGATGGCGATGAAGATGGGGAGGAGGAGGAGGAGGCAGATGTTGCTGCGCTGCACGATTTATTGTTTTCGCAGATGCTGGGCGCTGCCACGGCGGCAAGTGCGGACATGGGCGAAGGCAGCCACGTCATCACGCCGGACGAGTTCATGACGCAACACATCCAGCTGCCAGCAGATGGCAGTGGCGATGACACGCGCGTGCATGTGAACGGACGGCGCGTACCGCAACAGCCAGCAACAGACGATGCATTTGTTGAATCTTCTTCTTCTTCTTCTTCTTCCTCCCCAGCAACAGCGGCTTCCGTGTCGCCTTCGACGACAGCAGGAACAACGACAGAGCCACGTCCAGACGAGCAAGGGAGCAGCAATGCACGCGAGAGTGGAGACGGCGAAGCTGCTGACGCAGATGGCGAAGATGCTGATACCCCAAGTGACAGCCGAGCTGAGGCGGAGACAGGGGAGGAAGATCAAGAGGGTGGTGGCGATGATGACTCTGAGGTGGTGGTTGTCACAGCTGATGTAGAGGATGATGACTTTGACCACGACATGACGGTGATTAGTGCCCGGCTGAGCGATGCAGGCCTTGTCTCGCCACAAGCCGATGGTGATGGTGGGGATTATGATGACGAGGAGGAGGATGGCGAGGAGGACGAGGAGGACGAGCTTGTGAATGGATGCCAGCGCGAGGCCATGGCCAAATACATGTTTGCCATGTCTGAGCTGGGCGAGGAAGAGAGTGGTGCAGACGACACATCTGGCAGCCCCGTCCTCCAACAACGACACATGAACTGCGATTACCGTAATACGGCCGATGACGCGCAACTCCACGATCTCTTTGTACGTCATGGATGTTCATGCATGGTTGTCTCTGTGTGTGCCTGTGTTTTGTGTGTGCCTGTGTGTATGTATGTTGTGTATGTATGTGTGTGTGCGTGTGGTGTTTGTGTTATGTATGTGTATGTTTGTGTGCATGTGTCTGTATGTGTATGTTTGTGTGTATGTTTGTGTGTTTGTCTGTGTGTGTGTGTTTGCGTGTGTCTGTGCTCTGCCGCTTGCTCGCTAGCCCTTTCCCTTTCTCTGCTCGTCTGAACTCGGCCTCACACGCCTGCATGCGTTGCACGACTGCATGCATTGCTTGGTGGTTTTTGCAGGCCAAGATTGACGCTGCTGCTGTTGAGGATGATGCAAGTGCTGTGCACGAGGCAGAGCTGACACCAGACACGCTGGCAACCCCAACCGACTTTTGAGTGCACACACAGAGCCACAGAGAGAGCGAGAGAGAGTGAGTGAGAGTGAGAGTGAGAGGGTGAGAGAGGGTGAGCGAGTAGAAAGTGAGACACACACACACACACACACACACACACACACACACACACACCACACACAAAAGCAAATTGTGTTGCTGGTGCTTGAGTTATGCGATTTCTGTTTGAAAATATACACAATTTTCTACTTGGCAACTGCCTGTGTGCGAGCTGAATCTTGTGCTGTTGTTGGTGTTTGGCAACGAGCAAACAAAGCACAGCAGATAGCAGCCGCTGGGTGATACGAGAGCGCACAAGAAGAAGTGATCCAGCAACCAACCACCCACACAACACCACTACAACATACCTACCACCACCACCACCTGTGACCAACAACATGGGTGTTCGGATATCGCGCCTGAACACGGAGGATGATGATGCTGTGGAACAGCTCATCACCGACCTCTCTGCACTTGTCGCTACTCATCCCATCGAAGCTGAGGTCGGGTGTTTGTGTGCGTGTGCATGTGTATGAGTGTTTGTGTGCATGTGAGTGAGAGTGAGTGTTTGTGTCTGTGAGTGAGTGTGCATATGTGTGTGCAAGTGTGTGTGCAAGAGTGTGGTATTTCTTGTTGAACGTTTGCAACATGTTGGCTGTGCTTTGTGTCATTGCTTGCACTCCTGGTTGTCTCACCCATGTCATGTTCTCGATGCGCTCGTTTGAACTCGGTTGTAGATGGCGTTTGAGAAACCTTTGGAGTGGACCACATCCATCACCCCAGAGGATCTCTCCGGCATGGTGAGCTGTGAACTCCGTTGTGTTGTGTCCTACTGCCGACACACACGCACGCACAACACAACACGTATGCAATGCGAAACTTGACTGCTCGCTTTGGTGGTCCATCGACTGACCTACCCTTCAATCCATCGTGCTTTCACAGACACATGAGGCTGATGAAGACCGGGTGCTGCTGGACCTGACACAAGACCACATCATTGTGGGATCTCTGCAGAAGCTCCAGCATGTTCTGACCATGGCCGGCTCCAAGAAGGTCGACGAGTTGAAGGCCCTCATGAAAGGTAGCAAAGGCAGTCTGTTCGTGTTGTTGTCGGCGTTGTTTTTTCTTGTCGTACATGCGTGTATGCATGTGTACGCGCGGTGTGTGCGTGTGTGTGTGTGTGTGTGTGTGTGTGTGTGTGTGTGTGTGTGTGTGTGTGTGTGTGTGTGTGTGTGTGTGTGCGTGTTTGTGATGAAAGTATTTGCAGATGAAAAGAGTGGGTACATGCTTGCATGGTCTGCTTGCGTGCCCATGTGTGGTGTAGCAAGACGTGTTTGCTTCTCTTGCCACTCACTCACGTCTATTGCCCGCCGCTTTGTTTGTGTGTATTCATCCCCCCCCCCTCCCAACAGAGAACGAGGACCCCCTGGCCAACATACTCGGCGCTGCATATGGCGGTGGTGCCAAGCTGTCGAGCATCCACGCCTCCCTCGATGACTCCCTCAAGGCGCAGGTGAGAATGAAGTGTTGCTGGTGTTTGAAGGAGCTGGCGCGGTACCTTGCCGCCTCACACGCAGCTGACGGCTACGTGTTCGTTGCGGCCACGTGTTCGTTGCAGCCACGTGTTCGTTGCAGCCACGTGTTCGTTGCAGCCACGTGTTCGTTGCAGCCACGTGTTCGTTGCAGCCACGTGTTCGTTGCAGCCACGTGTTCGTTGCAGCCACGTATTCATAGCACAACATGTCGACCAAGATACGCACTCGCTCACTCAGTTACTGACTCATTCGCTCACGAACTGACACGCACACACGCACGCACGCACATTCACACACACACACACACACACACACACACACACACACACGAACTCCCCCCCCCCCACCACCACCAACTGCCCTTGTGCTTGCAGAATGGGGAGCTTGTGACGGCGCTGGACAAGTACGAGCTCGATGGTGCAGATGACATGTCCCCCGTCACGTCTTCCAACGCACAGCAGCAGCAGCAGCAGCAAGAGGACGACTCGCAGGAGGTATTGTGGCGAAGCACAAAGAAGACAGGCGGAGAGAAAGGGGTTTCACTCGTTGCACACACGCGCACGCTCACACAAAACACCAATGCAACCAATCTCCCCACCACCACCACCACCACCACCACCTACACCTACACACACGCACACACGCTTACGCACACACACACACACGCATGCACGCATGCACACTCGCACCCACTCACACAAAACAACAATACAACCAATCCCCCCCCCCCTACACACGCCTGCCAAGGCGCGGTCGGTGAAGGCGATGCAGCGTGCAGAGGCGGAGATGTCGCGACTGCGCAATGTGGCCGGCGTCGACGACGACGACCTGCTTGAGGAGCTCGACTGGGAGACGTCAATCACGTTCAGCAACGGGCTGCGCGTGCCGCCGTGGAAGCAGGCGGACGGCAGCCTGGGCCACATCCTCGCCAACCCAAAGGACGGTGATCGGTTCTACGTCATGGCGCACGTTGACGGGTTCTGGGAGATCAAAGGGCCGGACCACGCGACCGGTGACATGAACACGGAGCAGGTGGGCAGCGCATACAACTCGCTGATGGAGCTGCTTCGCGCCAAGAGCCCCATCTTTGAGGAGGGCGTGGACAAGGCGTCGTTTGCGCCCAAGCTGGCGTTTCTTGCTGAGGAGGACGAGCGGGCGCAGAGCGGCCGTATGGGTGGGCGTGGGCAGGACTCATCTCGTCGCGCCTACCGGCCCTCGCGCATCTGGCTCACAGAGGAGGTGCGGTATGCGTGGTGTGTGTGTGTGGGGGGGGGGG